GAGGGGCTACTGACATTAGTGGCCCATCGCGTTCCACGTTGGCGCAAGAAATAGTGAATCATCAATCCGAAGACGTCCACGGCGCATTCGGTGGTTTTACCGACACCAACAGCGGGGATGATTATGACTTTTGGGAATCTTCTGGTGACGATGATGATGACTACGATCCACGTGAAGATATGTGTGATACTCCTTCAGAACAAATGATCATTGGATCATCTTCCGCGCAAAGGAATAATGTGAGTTCGTACGATGATTATCAAGCGTATGGTCATGGAGTTCAACCAGGAACTTCGTCCTTGCATACTGGCATTGTATTCAACAGTTATGCACTGCTAAAGACTATGGTGACACACCATAATCTAAGGACTCATACACATTTCACGACGTTGTGCAAAAGGGCGAAATACTGGAAGGCGGGTTGTTTGTATCCCGAACAGTGTCGGTGGATGATTTCAGCGGGCGAAATTTCCAACACGGAAAAGTGGGAGGTCAAAAAGTTTCACGGACAGCACACATGTCGGGTTGATTATATGAAAGGGGGAGCGGACTACAACTTAACGAGCAAAGTCATCGCCGACTTCATTTTATCAAAAATTGAAGGGGATCCCCAATACAAGATAAAATATATTATCAATGATGTTCATGCCAACTGGGGTGTACGTGTTAGGTACAAGAAGGCGTGGTACGCCAAGGTTCTTGCGTTGGAAAATTTGTATGGGAAGTGGGATGATTCTTATAATATTATTCCCAAACTTCTTCTCGCGTTACAACAAACGAACCCCGGATCTATTGTTGATTTTGAACTAGCGGCCACACCCACTCCGAATGTGTTTGAGTTCAAGTACGCATTTTGGGCATTTAAGCCGACACTCAACGGGTTTAAATATTGCTTGCCCATTCTTACCATTGACGGTACACATCTTTACGGGAAGTACAGAGGCCATCTATTGCTAGCGGTTGGCTACAATGCTAACAAAGAGATCTATCCGGTTGCATACTCGATAGTTGACGTTGAGACTGGCGATAGTTGGACCTGGTTCCTGAAATTGGTAGCAACACATGTGTTTGGGGATCTCGAACGCATATGCATTATTTCAGACCGCCATGGTGGGATTGACGTGGCATTTCACATAGTGGATGAATTGCGTGAGCCTCGGGTACAACAAAGATACTGCCTCCGCCATCTAAGGTCCAATGTAATGACGAAATTCAAGAACAAGGATTTAAACAATTTGGTTTGGCAAGAGGGGTGTGCACTTGATGAGAGGGGTTTTAATGCGATGATGAGCACAATTTGGTGTGTTGATGAGGCGGCGTACAATTATCTTAACGAAATACCTCTGCGGTATTGGGCTCTTAGCCATGATGGCGGTTTTCGACATGGTCTACTGACTACTAACAACTCGGAATATTTCAACAACACGTTGAAAGGTGTTCGATTCCTACCCATCACAGCCATTGTTAAGGTGACTTTGGAGAAATTCGCGTTGCAGTTTGCGGACAGACGAACAAAGGGATTGATAATGCATCAATCTGGTTTGCAATAGCCAAGGAAAATTTTAGACGAAATGTTGAAAAGGGATACATACAAGTTCCGCGCGAAAGTCAAAAGGCACGATGACGTTCAGGGGGTTTACGCAATTGCTATAGAAGGCGATGTTACACCATCGGGCAGGCCAAAATTCGAAACCATTAACATGCATGAAGGATACTGTAGTTGCGGCCAATGGCTGTTGATGGATTGCCGTGCGTGCACGCTCACGCCGCTTCCCATTATGTGGGAAGAGTCCCTGATGGTATGGTCCCGGAAAAATTTTCGCTGCAAAATTATATTAAATGCTACGAAGGAACCATAATGCCTCTGTTGTCCGAAGAGTATTAGCCATTGGTACCCTACACGGTTTTGCCACCGCAAAGTGTTCCCCAAAGACGTGGTAGGCGCCCCAGCAGAAGAATTCCTAATGAAATGGATATGGCCGGAAGAAGATGTGGCATTTGCCGATCAGCCAACCATGATGTTAGACGATGTGTGCACGTTTAACCAGGTCAATACAACGATGACGCTCTATGAAACCGATTTCATTTGAGTTCTAATTATGTCCTTCCGCCAAATTTTTTTTATTTACTGTACTGTTTCGTGTCTAATGTTTTTCGACAATATTATATTCCGCATGTTGGGCTTTGTGTACTTTATCGGTTTTAATTCCAAAGTTTGACACCCCAAATGGGATGTCACAATCGACTACCTACCAAATGTGACAGCCGATTTGACTGTCACAATAAAGGTGACATGTGACAGCAAGTACCGGCTGTCACATCATACAATAACATATATATATATATATATATATATATATATATATATATATATATATATATATATATATATATATATATTATTTTTATTTTTTTTTTTGTTTTTCGACCTTTCGTTATCGTATTTTTGATGAGTATATGTGAAGACTGGGTAATGAGAAAATATGCATACTATATAATAAAGATTTATGCTCCGAAAAGTTACAATACAGTTACGTTCCACAGGGAGGTCGCCTTGTATTGTGAGATGGCCTCCGACGTTGATAGCGTACGATTGTTGGTTCATTGTCTTGCGAAGGATTAACCACTTGAGATTGATCCAACAGTTCGTCAGCAGCAAACAACTCGTGTACAGAAGGGTGGTCAAATGGCGCGTTAGACAGCGCATGAGAAGAACTGGGCATTTCACGTCCACCGTGTTCAGGCATTTCATGGGAAGATTCTCCGGGCTCAAAATAAGGCAATGGCATATATGGAGTAATCATCATGTTGGGGGAATGTGGTATGGGAAATTGTTGTACTTGAAGTTGTGTGGTATCGCCCATATATTGCGTTCCAAATACATCTTGTTCCTGTCCCGCCGGTCGCTGTTCTTCCTGATGCCCGCCGGGGACATCATCGCAGTTGAAGTTCATAGGTGGAACTTCCTGACGACGATGACCCCCCTGAGCTCGGCGACCGCGCCTGTTCACGTCCCTTCGTCTGTCAGGGTTTCGAACTTGCTGAAAAGGCTGGTAATATATTTCCTCGTAATTCTCAGGCCGAGGAAAATCCAAGAGGTAGCTAAAGTTTAGCCGATTTAGTTCTGCGCGGGCTATTTGTTGCACTTCATTCATATATTCCCCGGTCTCTCCGTGCTCCGCGGCAATTTCACCAACAATGTTGATGTGGCGCAAAGCTTCCACCTACGCATAATATAATTATTTGGTAAGGAAGTGAAACACATAAACCCATCAAAAAAAAAATTAGTGTGGAGAAGTTGAGTGGAACCGTTGCCGCATATGACGGTGATGTGTGCATGTATCATTCCGTATGCAGATGTTCAGGATTTCCAATCACACGCCTTCCAACCCTGTAGAACCAATGTTCGTAGGCCAAACTACAATATGGACCTAACGGGACATGTGGGGCAATGGCAACCAAGTTATTGTAACGATTCTCCCAGACTGCAACATGTAATTGGCGGTGAGTTGCCCAATCATTAATCTTGGAGCGACCATCAAATTTGTGCAAATGTGGATCGTACACAACATGGTCCGGGATGTCTTGGTATCCCCCAAACTGTCTTATGACCCTATCTGGATAATGCCACTCGACGGCGAAAAAAAATAATAAAGGAACACGTGCCGTCCAAATTAGCTGTCCCTTCCGAGAACAAAGAGGCAATGTGTCTACATTGTAGGGCATCCAAACAAACTACATGAAAAAAAATGAATTAGACATTACGTAGAGTCAAACATGTATAATATATATATATATATATATATATATATATATATATATATATATATATATATATATATATATATATATATATATATATACACACGCATAGATTTTGAATCCGGTGCATCCCCTCTTGCCAGGTGAGCTCGTGAGCCTAGATCCTGATCTTTTATTTTTTCATTTCAACGCGTGAGATTGCTTTGCATTTTTAAGGCTATGAGCTGATTTATTTACTAGGCATGGGCTTTCTAGTCTTTTGGCATTATATTTATTATGTTACCTTATTTATTTCTTGCTTTTTATTGGAAGGTGCAAAGTCTTTTTTATTCTCAATTCATTTTTTCCGATCGCAGCTTTGTGAAATATCTCTCACTCCTCCGTCTCCACAGAGTTCAATCTTCCGTCTCGATAATTTTCCAGCGCTCGCTCATCCATCTTTGTCGAGTTAGTGGATTTTCTGATGTCGCGTCTGCCTGTAATGGCGTGATAATCTCAATGGCTGGCTTCGCTAATTCGCTCAGCCTCTGTCGCGACACATTCACTGGAATCACCACTCTGTCGCTCTGCCTCGCCGGTCACTGGCTTCGTCTTCAACCGTCCCTAGCTGCTTGGCTCGCTGCTCGGCTACTCCTGCTTAGTCGCTCAGACCTCACCGCCTCAGGTTCGTTGTTTTCTCCGGTCGCACGCCCTTTCTATAAATCTTAATTGGTTGAATTGTTTACCCTAAAATTTGAGTTTTGAACTTATCCCGTTAGTGAATCGGAGTTTAATCAGTGTGCCCTAATTTCTCTAATTATGTTTGTCATCATCACCACCAGCAGAACCATATGTTATGTGGATTGCATATTGACATGATTACGGATGTATATTCTATTTTTTTAAACACTCATTTCTTTACAAGGTTTTATATGTTCTATACTAATTTTATTTTTTTTTTAGCCCAAAGAATATCTTGTGACCACCCATTTGGAATGGTAACAAAGGTCACACTACATAGTAGTTGGCATTTATCTCCCATTTAAGAAGAAGACAATGCAGATTTTAATATCACAAGTGTTGTTAAATTTGGTTTTATCATTTTCTGTATGTGATACATTGATATACCATAGATTATGTGGATCTCATTTTTACATGTTTAATATTATAAGCATGGCTAGCGTGACAATTAATATGCACCAATTCAGTTCTCCAATTTTTTCTTTTGATCTCATTCCCATTCTTTCAATGTGCTTATTCTTTCCTTTTTTGCTTTGTAGCAAAAAAGAGTTTGTACTAAGATGGCGGAGGATTCTGAGTATCGCTGTTTCATTGGTAACTTGTCATGGTCAACATTTTATCAAATTCTAAAAGATGCATTTCGGAAGTTTGGAAATCTTGTTGAGGCAAAGGTAAGAAGTTGCTTCATGTAGTCCATTGTTTAGTTTACATGTTTTACCTTCTGAGTTGAGTGATGTTTTCTGCTATTATGATTTCATGCAGAATCACAACCTGCACATATTTGTTTATTGTTTTTCAGAAAACACCTGACTATTGATTATATCACTGGCTTTGTTGTGAGATAATTTGTCAAGAGAATACCTATATAACTGTATTGACCTAGGAGTAATACTTTCTTTTTTATTTTTGTGGATAATTTTTAGTAGGCTTTCATTTTCCAGGACCAGTTTGAATAAATGGCACAAATTTGAGTTTTTTAATAGGCTCATTCTATGATAGGCACCTTCTAAAATATGTTGTTTTACATTTGGATATACAATTTGATAAGTACTTCTATTACTATTAGTTTTTCCAGAGCGTTTCACTGCTGGAAATCATCAGATTTCCGACCACCCAAAAGTGGTCGGAAACGGCCTAAATTGGGTCGGAATCACGGTTTCCGACCATTTTTCCGATCAAATTGGGGGTTCGGAAAAGGCCGCGTCGCTAATTCCGACCACTAGAGCAAGTGGTCGGAAATAGCGACTACATTTTTTAATCGTCGGAAACAAACGACGAGTCTAACAATTGGACGAATTCAGTTTTCCGACGACCGGGTGGTCGGAAATCTAAGTACATTTTTTTTTAATAATTTATAATTTATACTGCTACTTTCCTACAAATTATCCGCTGCTTTTACAATTTTAAAACTAATAATTTCATAACACAAATATTATACATTTCAATAGCAAATTTTTTTTTTTTTTTTTTTTTTTTTTTGAAAGTTACTGACTCTATTACATTGTAGTATCTGTTCATATACTTTCTCAACCTACTGAAACACAAAGAACCAATAACGCCTCCACTGAGGCTCGAACTCATAATCTTCCAAATGGAAGTCCAACCCGGGTACCATTTCAATAGCAAATTTAGTTACACATAATGTTACAATTCTAATATCCACCTTCAAAAAACTAATTTCTAATTAAAAAATGCTAATACAATCAAAATATTTCCTACATTACAAAAAAGTTAAAATCTTGAATCTAAAGATCATCTAACCCATAGCTACCGGCTGGATCATTGGAAACACGGCTAATTTGCACCACGAAATGCAACAAATTGAGCTTCCAACCATACAAGTTTTTCCTTCATCTGCGTGTTCTCTTCCTTTAGTTCCTCATAAACTACATGTGCATTTCTTTGCCTCACATCCTCAGGGAAGTAGTGTGGTGGATCTTATCCAAATCCAAAAACATACCCTCCTTTCTTGAGGCTACCGGCTTCCTTGTACCATGCATTTAACTCTCCGACCTCATGTTGAATTTGTTGTTTTTGAGTTGCAACCTCCTATATTGAACCATTTGTACCCAACAGGCCAACACAATCATTTTATCATCTCAAAATCTAATAAAGGTTAAGAGAATCATTTTCCTAGAAGTTCCTCAAACAATTACCAACATAGATAAAACATCAATAAAAAAAATCAAAAACAAAACATGAAATAATTATATACAAGCACACTAATAAATAGACACACATAAAAAGCATTGGTGGTCAAGTACATCATAGAGCTAACCTCCTTTGCTTACACAGAATTTAAATGTTTGGTGCTTATTCATTTTCATACAAGGATTATATATGGTTGCAACAGAGCTTATGACATGGTTAATTAGTGGACTCCACTTTGTCTCTTCTTTCTTTTCTTGTGATAAAATTTCATTTGATATTAATGAATAATCTTCTGGAATTCAGAGCTGAATATGACCCAAAGAATGATTTACTAAATGAAGAATTCATGCTCAAAGGGAAGTGGTACCAACAGAAGGATTTGGAGGTACAACATGATATATTGAAATCATTATCAGTTTAAAACTTCTCACCATTATCGTGTCCATATATTAACTGAACTAGTATTTCAGTGCTTGACTAATAACACATACTATATTACTGATGGCCTGAAAATTTATTATTATCTTTTTTAAAAGGTAAAGAGCATTTTTCTAAGTGCAACATAATTACATAGATGAGGCACAACCCCATGTACATAGAAATGTACTTGAAAAGTAACTTGGTAGATATTTGACCATAAAACCCTTAACCCCCATGAGAAATAAACTCTGAAGATCCTTAACAAATGAAAATATAATAATAATAATAATAATAATAATAATTATTATTATTATTATAACCATAAGTTTTTGTACCATCAGCCTATCCAGAGCAGAAAGCAAATTCTCCCTTTTTAATGGTAGTAAATAGTTCTGCATTTTTAATGCTTATAATGACATGCAATTATCTTTCAATTATCAGGTTTCATGCACATACAAAGAATAAGTAGGAAGAAAACTAAGGGAAGTAGAGAGTTATAGCAACATTGTATTCAACAAAAAACATTTAAAGAAGAAACCATAGTGCTAGCCTGCCAACAAAAACATTATAGCAACCTTGTATTCACTAGGCCTACACTTTTAATGCTAGGAAAAGTTTTAGTATCTTACCATTACTTGTTGAGTCTTTTTGCAAACAAACTCATTTGTCTTTTTGCGTTTGTCTTGCATTACGTTGAGACATTTTCTGCTTAAAATCCAAAGAAAGTTGGTGGTGTAAAATAAATAATCAACATAAATGTAACCTATAATTCATCTCAATCAAACATTTTCTAAAAGATTGAACAACAAATCACAAACCAGACAACAAATATGTTACAATATTAAAAGCAAGTAAAGCTAAATGCATGCAAATAATCTTGCCAATTCATTTTTTAATCTACAGTTGAAATTGAATTGATGAATGACGTAGTGCACATTCAGATTAGTCTAGAAACACACATACTTGTACACCAGAACAGAACGCTAAAACTATTTCATTTCCCATACAAAATCAAAATAGTTTTGCTCATTTGGCAATTCTTTTTCATCAGTCATCAACAATGAAACTAGTTCAGTAGTTCAAGCTGTTTCTCTACTGCATATATTATGGCTGAAAAGAAATTCAAAAGTAATAAACCTAGTAACCTTGTAGATACCACAAATCAACTTTCATCCATTCTTGATTCTATACACAATCCAAATGAAGTTCTTAATCAAATGTTCTTTAATTCCAAGTTCCAACCCTAAATTCAAAGAAAATACAAGAGGAACGAAAGGGTTATACCTGATTAGTTTGGTCTCGTCGGTAGTGATGCGGTATTCGATTATCCAAAGACGCAAGTAGATAGCGAAGCCCATCGCCATTGTCAGTCCCAACCCAATCAGGACTACTGTCATTCAAAAGGAATACTCATTACTCACAACAAAATATATAACCTAAACTGTTAATAAACACCACCATCAGACCTGGGATTAATAATCTAGCAGATCTATTTCTACACCGGCGACGGGCAATGGTGGCAAGTCTGTATTTCCATCCGTTCTTGGCGGCGTCGGATGATGGTGGCGGATTTGTTTCTCCATCCGTTCTTGGCGGCGTCGGATGACGGTGGCAGAGTCCATTCGATGGTGAGACGGTGAAAATGGTGAAGATGTGAGACGTGAAAATGGGTTTAGGTGAGAGAGATGTGAGACTTCACAAGGCTCAAAAAAAGATGTTCTCAATTGATGGGTTTAGGCGTTTAGCAGATTTGTTGGAGGGAGCGAGGGATTTTGGTGCGAAAATTTTGGTCGAAATTTTGGGGTTATGGCGCCATTTATTTATTTATTTATTTATTTTTTTTTTTGGTCAAGAATATAGTAGGATATAATATAATTGTTTAAGTGTATAGTTTAATATAGTTATGTAACTATGTAAGTGTAATGTAGTTTATAAGTACAAATTATGCAAATTAAAACTTTTGACTAATTATAAAATAAATACTTTTTAAAAACAATTATAATAAAATATAATAAATCATTATTTTGCATTATTATGGAATAATATGCATTTTGTAGATATAGTGAAATGCATCATTTCATATGTATTTTCAATGTAGTTCTTACAGTTAAACGTCATGGAGATGGTGCAGTTATATGCTTGCTATTTGTTAGAACTGTCTAACACAATAGAAAATATGATAGGATTGTTTAGTCAAGTTATTTTGACATATGTACAATCTTTGAAAACTATCTTTATTACATTGATATCGTTTTAATTCTAAAATCATTATGAAATTGTTCGGGACAAATGCTAAATCTATTTGTCAAGCAAATTTACAAATTATAATTGTATAATTCATTAATATTAGTATATATATATATATATATATATATATATATATATATATATATATATAAGGGTTCAAGTGCGAGAATGGCTTCCTGTGCGATTGGACGCACCTTAAGCATTAACATGACACACATTAAGTATTAACTTCACGCATCTTAGTTTATAAGACTGACGCACCTTAAGAATACGAATCACACACCTTAAGCACACAATACACGCATCTTAAGGGCAAAACTCACGCATATTAAGCACAAAACTCACACACCTTAAGTTTCAACAACTACTCACATTAAGTACACAACTCAGACACCTCATGCACAAACCCACACACCTTAAGCACACAAACCATACGCACATTAAACACAAACCACACGCACATTAAGCACAAACTCAAGCACCTTAAATTTACCTAGATGCAAAAATTGCCAAATTGTCGTTGAAATTAAAAGGCAATCATGGCCACCGGAGTAGGAGACACAGTAGCAGCGTCAGGGATGGTTCGCTTAGATGAAACAACGGCAAAGCCATCAAGAATGAACGTCATGAGAAAACTTATACTGCTGATACCATATGATTGTTTGTATTCTGTGATAAAAATTCATACGCAGTACAATACACGATGATATACAATACATTATGTAGGATTTTGAAACTCAATAGAACTAGAATTGTAGAGTTCTAACAAGAATAAGGCGTTTTAAAGAGTTTAAGTTAAAAAATGATTTCATATATATACATAAAAAGGGGAACATAGTCTTATTTTTCATAGCAAGAATAGAGAGAGGATATCTACTAGTAATCAAAAAAAAAAAAAGTATGACTGAAACAATCAATGATAAAAAGATAAATCATGTGGCCTTCATACCATTGAATCACCAAAAATAAAAAATAAAAAAAAAATAATAATAAAGAGAATTTCCGACCACACTTCCGACCACTATAACAAGATTAGTTTAAAAAATTTATTCAATGGAAAAAATTTCCGACCACCTTTACTTTGTGGTCGGTATTTCCGACTACCATGTAAAGGTGGTCGGAAATTCCGACCACTTTCCGACCATTATACTTTTCCGTTGGAAAAATGAAAAAAAGTCATTTTTTGTGACCACTCTTTTGGATGGTCGGAAATGAGGTCGGAAAAACGTTATTTTCCAGCAGTGTTTTTTTTTTTTCTGAATTTATTTTACTAACTTGCAAAACAGCTGTTTTATACTTATTTTGATAAGTTCGATAAGGTTTCAGAAGCCATAACTTATTTACTAACTTGCAAAACAGCTGTTTTTATTTTTTATTTTTTATTTTCTGGTTCTGCCATGTGAGTTGGGCTTGGATGAGTTTTATGGTCAGTTTAAAATGTTTATGATTTCTCTATTACTCAGGTTGTTGACAAGTTTTCTGGTCGGTCTAAAGGTTTTGGTTTTGTTGCATTTGATGAGAAGAAAGCCATGGAAGAAGTTATTGATGCAATGAATGGAATTGATTTAGATGGTCGCGCCATTACGGTTGACAAGGCACAACCTCTATTATAGTGTAGGGAACACACCAAACTCTATGCATGCACACACGTTTTTAAGTTTTTTGTTGAGTTTTTGGATCTTTGGGTCATGTACAGTACATGTTATTCAACATTTTTGCTAGTTTTGACGTTTATGCATAGATGTATGTCACCGTGTGCAACTTAGTCTAAATGGGCTTGTAGTTAGTGGTTAAAAGTTTAGCGCCGCTGCGTGTGCGTAGATGTGTTTCACAGTGTGCAAGTTGGGCTAAATGGAATTTGACTTTTATTGATAGCTTTGTGCACTATGGGTATTTGGTATGTGCTTTGGATGGATTTGAGTGGGATTTTCACCCTCTGTTGGCAATGAATTTGAGTGGGATTTTCATATCCACACCCAATCCCCACCCACCACCCTTGAAAAAACCTTACTTGTGCGTATTGGGTGAGAGTGGGTGCCTGCAGATTGGTTTTTAATTGTCATCCCTCCATCATAATTATACTCCACTTTGATGTGGAAAATTGGAATTATTTATGATGCTAAATGTTTTTGCAAAACCCTATTAATGTTTGCTCTTGCAATCTTCTCATTGACAATGGAATATTGTTAACTTATTTTGATGCATGTTGGTCTTTGCTAATGTCTATAATCATATTTATTTCTTTTGTAGCCTTTGCCTTATATTCCCACGATCACAAATTATACTCAACTATGGACGTGGGTTCCTAATGTTGTTGTTGCTCACGAAAAGGAAGGGATTGAAGCTGTTCATCTGGCATCTAGAAGTTTAAAGAGCCTTATTTGCTGCTAATCTACATTAAATGTGTATATGTTAGGAATAAAGTGTAATGGTTTTGATATGCCAAATTTGTATTTGTAGATCCCCCAATTTTGTTTATAGGTTTAGTAGAGTCTTAGATCATGATCGGGAAATTATTTAAATATGAAAAGAGAAAAACAGAGGAAGATGGATGAAAATAGTAGAAGATATCAAGCCGAAAATCAAGAATTTGTCTGGAGAAAATGACAAATTGAAGAAGAAGATGAATGATACAATATTCACGTCGCTACTGCTTAAAGAAATATCCCAGAAGAATTTTCGTGAAGAAAATTAATATTGGAAGAATGCATGAAATTGACTTGGAGATCAAGCATCTATGGAAAGAAAGGAGTACATCAAATGTGATTGGAGATTTAATCAAAAGCTGTACGGATGAAGTGGATGATGCTTGATATGTTATGTAAAATGACTTAAGTTCGAAACTCACCATCAACAATTTTACAAGGTAAAATTTGAGAAGTCAAATTAAATAAATCTGATGGAGTTGGGCGCTAGTTTAAGCCTAAATTGGGAGCCAGTTTCAAAGAAAATTGAAATCAATTGAAATTGGGAGCCAATTCAAAGCAATTGAAATTGGGAGCCAGTTTCAAAGAAAATTGAAATTGGGAGCAAGTTTCACATGGGAATCAATTCAAGATGGGAGCCAATGTAGACAATTTCAAGTTGGGGACCTTTTGAAAATTGAAATCAATTGAAATTGGGAGCAAGTTTCACATGGGAATCAATTCAAGATGGGAGCCAATGTAGACAATTTCAAGTTGGGGACCGATGGGAATCAATTCAAAATGGGAGCCAATGTAGAAAATTTCAAGTTGGGGACTAGACAATTTCAAGTTGGGGACAATGGAGATCAAATTGAATTGAGAGCCAATGTAGACAATTTCAAGTTGGGGACCGATTCAAAGAAGACATGGAGATCAAATTGAATTGGGGACCGATTCAAAGAAGACATGGAGATCAAATTGAATTGAGATGAAATTCAATACCAGGAGAAGTCTGGGAGCCAATTTCGAAGTCAAAGTCAACAATTCAAATTGGGAAGCAATTGAAAGCACTAGGAAAGTTTGGGAGCCAATTGCAAGTCAAAGTCAATTGGGGGAGCCAATTGCAAGTCAAAGTCAATTGGGAGCCAATTACAATGGAGAAATTCAAATTGGGTGCCAATTACAAGCCAATTGAAATTGGGTGTCAATTACAAAGCAGAAATTCAAATTGGGTGGAAGTTCAAAGCCAGTTTGAAGTCTGAGAACACCCAGACGTGAGAATGAAGAAAATGAAGATGAACTTACAGTGAAAATATTAAATACTAGTTTTAACTAGTATGGGATTAAATTAATGAATATTTTTAAATCCCAAAGATACAAGGACCACTCCAGAGCTGATCAGAGAAGCCATTCTACACCAAAACTGAGACCCAGATATTCTCACTCAACGTTGAACCAGAGGAATATCAGATGAAGTTTGGGAGCTCATTTACATGGAGATGAAGATCCATCAACGGCTAGCTTATCCTTTCTGACATCTTCGCAGAAGATAAGATAAGATCTCTGACAAAAAGATACAAGATTTCAAAAATGAGAGCGTCTCTTTCCAACGGACAGATTCTCATTACCAGCTATAAAATGATGAAGATATGAAGACTTGAAGATGGGGAACTCACGAACAAGAGAGCAGAAAATTCGAAACTCATCAAGGAGATCGAATAGAGCAATTAAGCTTGAAAGAGCATAGAGCAAAAATCTCATTTGGTACAGAGCATACCAAAAATCTTCAAGTGAGAAGTGAGAAAAGAAAAAGAACTCATAGAGCTTCAAAGAAAATATTCAGAGAGTTCAAAAAGCAGAGCAAAAATATCAAGTGCTTTACTTGATATATTCAAAGAGAGAAAACACTCAGAGCTATCAAGAGAAATCATTCCAGAGTGTTTATCTTCATCAAAGAGACCTGCGCATCATTGAAGATCATCTACAGAGTCTCAGAAGTTGGAAGCAAGACAACACTTGTTTCGGAGCAAAACAAGAGAAGGGAGGAAAGTAGCACGGAGCAGTGAAATCCTGGATTGTCACACGAAGCTGTGAGATCCGAAGCAGCAGTGTCGGAGGCACTGGGCGTGATTAGTGCGGGCTTTGTGATCAAAGCACTAGATCACGGGATACGTTTCTACCGGAGTGTGGAAGACGGGGGGAAAGTAACGCGGAGTCATGAAATCCTGGGATAGTAGCGCGGCGACGTGAAACCCGAAGCAGCAGTGTGGTGTCACTGGGCGTGATTAGTGCGGGCTTTGTGATCAAAGCACTAGATCACGGAAATTCATTGTATCGTGGAACCAAGGAGTGGTAGATATAGTGAATTGCTCTTGGAGATAAGAGCAAGTGGAGTAGGATGATTACACCACCTCGCGAACCACTATAATTGTCTTGTGTTCTTTACTGCTTTCTTTACTTACTGCTCTTTACTTACTGCTCTTTACATATTCGCTCTACACGAGATATACTGCTCACACAATCTCACACACGCTTTATGTTTATTTATTTCCGCTGTGCACCATACTCTAACAATCTAGTTAAGAGTTTTGGTTTATCTCTGGCTTAGCAATTGTTGTGCTGTGCGAAAAAGTTTGAAAGTCTATTCACCCCCCTCTAGACTTTCACCTTACCTCTTTTGGAACCAACAGTATATCCTATATAATTGATATTGCTATTTTTATTCCATGAGCCTTAGATGATTGTATCTTGATTTGTTTCATTTTGTTTTCATTTCCTAAAGTTTTTATTAGTAAATGGCTATGCCGGGTCAATGATCAATTTATGTTTTGTTGGGACTACATTTTCTCTTTTTCGTTTTGTATTTTAGGTGTGTGCAAACCACATTGTAGTTTGTGCGCATCACATTTCTAGTATGTGGAAATTTGCTGCGCGATATACACTGTCACATTTTGCTATGTGCATGATAATAATGACGTCTGTGCAATAATAGAATTTTAGCATAACGCATGCGCCTTATACCTCGAATGCACACTGTCACCAGCATTACGCACACACTGTCACCCGTGTGCGCATAGGCCATAGATTGTGAAATAAAACCTAATTAGCAAATATCTACGTGCTCATTCCTATGCTTCCACATACTTCATTAAGCGCACACTAGTTTAATGCGCACGCCTTTATTACCATTTTATTTTAAAATGCAATCTTATAGCGGTGTGTGCATTATTATAGTATGGTGTGTGCATTAGTTCTTGTTGTTTTTTTTTAATGTATATAAACCATGATATTTTTTTTTTTTAATGTTATTGCATGTAGAATATAAAAGCGCATGACCTTTGCATTTCTTCATATGCTTTTGTTTTTTGTATTTGGTGTGTGCATTGGAGTGTTATGACGTGTACAATAGACCACATGATGCAAAGTTCCATTGCCAAAAATTTGCACACGCTATACCATAAAAATGCACACACCAGTGTAAAAACAAAACTAAAAAAACGACATGATGCTAAGTTCATTTTCCAAAAATTTGCAAACGCCAAATCATACAAATGCACACACCACCGTAAAAAAAAAAAAAAAAAAAAAAAAACTATTAATTTCTACAATATATTCCTTGTAAAACAAGCCAACCACAAGAAATCACGCACAAGAAAAGGCCTGTGCATATAGTGGTTGCATATTAAAAGGATTGTGGTTGTGATTTTTTTTTTTTCACAATCTTTCACAGGCGAAATACACTCATTGTTGTCTATGCATCCTCCCGTCAACCTATCGGTTTCACAAACAGACCTGTATGCAACCACCTGAACACGCACGCGCTACGCACATATGACATAACAGATATTCTAGTTCGTCCACCAACCCCCACCCCCCTCCCACCATCCCAGCGTAAAAAAACCCCAATATTCAACGTATGCACAGACGATGGCACGTAAATGCACTTACCTGTTCGTTTTCTCCTCAAGCCTTGTTCACTCCAAGTTCACCTCATCAGCCTTTATAGTAATTTAAAGTATTAATTTCCATCCATAAACTCCCTAATTTAATACAATAATATTATGTCCATAAATAAATTAGAATTATAATTACTAATATATCCTTTACATTGGAAAATATCCTTAATTACTACCCTAATCTCTTATAATCTCAACCATTGATGGAAATTGAATCAATGGATATTAGGAGGCCTCATGGTCTCATCTATT